CCCAAGCGACGATAACAACACATGCTAAAAACGCAAAGGCTCATGGGTAGACGTTTGTTTATAAACAATGACACGCTATGGCCAACTGACGTATGCGCAGGTGACGACCCTCCCGCTTTAACATTTCATAATCACGGAGATAGGGCTAACTCGTAAAAATGCGGTGAATTTAAAAGTATTACAAAATTGAAATGTTCGCTGAGCGAAAAGATTTCGCCAAATTATATGAAAGGTTAAAGCCGAATTTGTTAACAGTTTCCATGGAAACAATGTCTGCTAGTGACCATTTTGAAGCGAAAATGAGTCATAATACAACAATTAATAATTTAAAAATTAGGTTGGTTATCCGGAGATGTTTTTTTCTGACTGTCAACATAGATTTTATTTACTGGATGAACATGCCATGTCAAATGTATTAGCTGCATTCGTCCATAATCTGGGTAAATTAACCCATTAATTGAAAAAAAATATTCTGTGCTCGAATCGCATTTTACTTTAATAAAATCAAATATTGTCTAACCCAATATTTCGTATACTTTCCAATATCGCCCATTTTAGTCACCAACATGAATCAGTTTTTGAAAAATAATCTGTATTATTTTCGAGATGTTATAGACGATCACGTCACTGCATGCATTCGATAATGCCCCCAGGAAGAATAGTAACTGTATACTGTTTTTTTGCAGAAAGTTTCACCTTCGAATGAAGAGAGACAATACGTTGTTTGTTGATGGTTTCGTGGTGCAGACATCGGAAGGTGAAGATGGCAACTACGATACGTCGCATATTTATTCCGGCAAACTACACGGTAAGCTCACTATGTGTATTGCGGTGCCCGAACTGTCATCTCGGTGACGGGTATTTAAAGTTGTTCTACTCTCAAAAAAAAAATCTTTTCAATAATTTTCTGAAATCTCGCTATTTGGATCACGTGATGCATCATGGGTAAATAGAGGGAGAGGTTATGAACGACGTCACACGTGCAACTGTGCACTATCAATATCATTGCGAACAAGATTGTTGTTTACTGATGCCAGACTATGATAGTTTAAAATGTGTTAAACTTGTTCAAAATGGCTTAAATGAATGGACCCCAAAGCGAAATAAAACTATCAATATCGTGCTTACCGTAGTCTAGCTTTTCCCAATAAATGGAACATGGCAGAGATTAGCTCTCAGAACGAATGTGTATTGCACTGGATAAAAATTCAGAACACCGATTGCGGATTTCCATTTTGTTTTCTAAATGTATGTTATTCAAACAGACGAGCCCGGAAGTCTTGTTCATGGCACTATTCTAGAGGGACTCTTTGAAGGCAAGATTTATTCTGGCGAGGACGAGTACTACATTGAACCGTCCAGTCGATACTTTAATGAACCAACCGACTATCACTCAGTAATCTACAACGGTAAAGATGTACATTACCCGTACCCACACGGAGCGCAGTGTGGCCTGAGTGACGCAACCAAGAAGTGGATGCAAAGCGTACAAGAACAGCCTGCATTAGAGGCGTCCGATGAAATGGTTCGTTTAGTAGTCTAGTTATTCACAACTTTCTCATAATATTGAATAAATGTCCAATGAATGATGATTTTCATTGAAATATGCCATGACCACACCTCATTTGTACCACTCCGTAGCTCGTCGAATATTAGAGTGGCCACGTTTCTGACTGATTTTAGACAAAGACTGAATGTGCCCAAACGTTTATGTGAAGACCTTAACATTTTATTTTTCGTAGGGTTCGTACGTGTCTTCTTCCAAGGAAATGCACCATCCGCAGGACAACAAGTACACCGATCCTGCCAAGAGAAAGAAGCGCGCCCTCAATGAACTAAACACGTGTACGCTGTACATCCAAACCGACCACCAGTTCACCGCCGCGTTCGATAACAACGACCAAGTCATATCTCAGATTGTCAACTACCTTGGTGCCATAAATGCTATTTATAGAAGAACAAACTTCGGTGGAATGACGGATATTTCCTTCGCTATCAAGAGAATTAGGGTAGGTTTCTAACGTGTTATAGCGATCAGCGTTTTACCCCAGTCTTTCGTTCATTAATTGTATTCTCGTACTCGTACGTATAAATAAGTAAAATACTTATTTATTTTCGCTATTTTCGCTGAAGGAATTCAGTGAAAATAAAATCCAGTGAGAATATACCTTTTTCCCTATATTCTACAACTTGTCAAAAATTTGTGAAAATAAATTCCATACAAAACACCCAAAAATTTCTTTTCAGCGAAACTTAAATCCAGCTAAAATAAAGTATTTTACAATATATGAATTGTTGAAATTTTAAACTATTTGCGAATATCTATGACATCTTCGAAGCATCAACATCACTGCCAACTCTCGCGAGTTCAAGTCAGATGTATACGCCCAGTCGAACTTTCTGACGTATAATATTTTTGTAATCCCACAGATAAATGGCACAGAAGAGCAGAACGATCTTTCAAATCCATTCCGGTTTGACAATATCGGAGTGGAGAAATTTCTCGACCTGAACTCGGAACAGAATCACAACGACTATTGTTTAGCATACATCTTTTCAAACAGGGACTTTGAAGGCGGTGTGCTGGGACTCGCGTGGATTGCCTACCCATACGGTAATGTGACAGATAACAGCTAAACATAGGTGGAATGTTAGCTTGGTAGAAAAAAAGAAGCTACTATATTTCAATATTTGGTAAATCACATACTGACACCAGCAAAATATCGTCAATTGTTTTTCCCAACACAGAAATGACCAACGTGTTACAGGAAACTTTGATTGGATGTCAATTTCTGGCAATCGGTCAATTTCAGTATTTCATTGTTTGAGCATGCTGGTTGTAAGCATTACTGTTAAAAAAAACGGGCAGAAATCTGCAGAATCTTACTTCTTTTGATAATATTGTGTCTACGCTTGTCTGATTATGTGTTATTTTCCGATTCCATACTGAAATATTTAAAAACATTCAAAGATCCCAATTAAAACGGGGGAGTCGTCACCTGCGCATGCGTCAGATGACCATAGCGTGTCATTGTTTACAAACAAGAGTCCACCCACGAGCCTTTGCGTTTTTAGCTTGTGTTGTTATCGTCGCTTGGGACTTAATTCCCGCGTGTGCGCAGATGACGACTCTCCCGCTTTAACTCAAGGTTCTGTCAAATACAATTTCTGACTTAATTGACAAATTTGTTTCAATACCAGTATATTTTCCGTGTTGCTTGGGAAATATAAATACACTTTGCCTAACTATGTTTAATATCAATCTTCTAAACACAGCTGGTTCAACCGGAGGCATATGTGAACGATACAAGCAATTGAGTACTAGAAAGGCCAGTTTCAACACTGGAATTATAACTATCCAAAACTACGGAAGCCGAGTCACAACGAAAGCATCTCATATCACTCTTGCTCATGAAATTGGACATAACTTTGGATCCCCGGTAAGTAGGATATTCCGAATGCGGAGCGGAGGCATTTACAGGACCTTATCTGTCATATATTTTGTATAATGGGTAATCGCGCTGGTTACTCGCGCGAATAACGTCTGGAGTGGTGGCTTACATTTTGCTCATTAAGAATGGAAATTTAATGCAACGTCTTGCATAATGGACGGTTCACTTTCGTTATAATTTCAATTATCAATTGACATAGCCCCTTAGCAAAACGTATATCTCACCCATTGTTCGGAAATTATCATATTCAGATTATAAGCGTTCTATATATATATGAGCCAATCAACGTCACGTTATATTCACCCACAAATTATTAGCAGCCAATCCAGAAATTGGCAGAGAGTCAGTAACCAGATACACGGTAGTCTGGCAACCAAGCTACATTTTTCTGGTGTTTGACTCAAGTAAGCACTTGTATTTGATGTTTGAAAAAATTATGTCATCAACCATTTTCAACGAACGTACAATTACATATATCATGCAAATGCGCATGTACTCTGAATAACTGGTACGTACCACTTAGCTACGCGAGATCTCGCAGCGAGCGGAATATGGCTTATTCAAAATGCGTGATCAATAACAATTCATCAATATACGTAACACGTGATTTATTTAAATATCTGAAAAAAAATCAATAATGAATGGTTGACTGGACACGTTTTCTTGTAGCACGACTACCCGTTAGAATGTCGGCCTGGTGACAGTGATGATGAATTAAACATAATAGACGGTAACTATATTATGTATGCCATGGCAAGAAAGGGAAACAAATTAAACAACAATAAGTTTTCAGAATGCAGCATCGGCAACATGACTCTGGTCCTTAACGCCAAGAAAGACAGATGCTTCATAGGTAAGTAGGCCATGTCTATGTTATGCCCTCAAACGACATAAGCTTTTCGTGTCAGCTATAGATGGCGCTACTTCCATAAATCTTTCTGTAATTTGCCAAAAATGTACTAGTATTCCCCAGTTTAAGAAAACTAGCATTTCCATTATATTTAGCTCACATTATAGAAAAGATCAATGATCATTGTCAACATTTTGATTAGTTGTTATTTTGTCGAACAATTTGTGTTTACAAACTAGAAAACTAGTTTCCAATTTTACGTCTAAGCAAACACTATAAATTGAGCCTAAATTTATACTCATAAATGCACGAATCACGTGACGTGTCTGGTCCAAAAATATCCCTAATTACACCCTTTCTTCTATCAAAGCTTTGTGTTTAAGTTCTATCCCAGTGATCCACAGAGGAGGGGCGTTTGGTGGTTGCGTTGACGTCATGTCTTGATCGATTATTTCTCTTTTTTTCCCCGTGTAGAATCCTTGGATGAATTCTGTGGTAACGGTATCGTAGAAGGTGACGAGGAGTGTGACTGTGGTTTCAGCGACCAATGCGATGAAATTTGTTGTTATCCACAGACTGAACAAGGTGATCCCATGGCGTGCCAACTCAAACTGGGAGCTAACTGCAGGTAGGTAGTCTGATTATCTCAAAATACCGTGATGGTAATCCAGTTGTAATGATAAACCCACGTCGCCATGGGCTATCCATCAGCCAGATTTTTTCAGCAAATTAATTTGGTAGTTACAAAATAGCTCATCAGTATTTCTGTTGTAGTCCCCTCCACAATTTTAACTGTACAAAAAAGTGTGTAAATGTCGATTGCATGTGAGCATTATGTAAAGTGTCAGTGGCAGCGGCATCGAGAAAAATGCGCGACCACTTACAAGGGTGGTGAGTAGATCTCGCCCCCATGCAAGAATGTCGTGCCGCCGCCTCTGAGGGCGTTGTATACACTAGCAAATACTGCAAACGATACTACTCGTATCAGATGTCTACACAGAATTCATTTTTTGTGACGTCATGAATAATACTTGTTCATATTTACAGTCCTTCACAGGGTCCGTGTTGCAATGAAGAATGTAACTTACACCAGGGAGGCGAAACTATTATGTGTGACTCTGCGTCTGAGTGCAACGAAGTCTCATATTGCGAATATCCTTTGAATCATTGTCTGGTATTTGTTTATTCCGAGCATGCTACTGCGCATTTGTGCAGTGCATTGTGGGATATAACTTCTCCTCATATATATTGTCACACTATAAACTCACCATAGGAACCAGTGCAAATGTGCAAACATTTTTTTTCCCATTCTCCATGATATTTTGACTATTATTCGTCCGGTGACTATAGTTTCTGTTTTTTGTCAGTTTGGGTATTCTAAATGGAAGTAACCCATAATAATGAAAGCATGAAGAAGTTGACATAATTGTTCTGAGCCTCCTTAATATATATACATCCATTCGAACAAAAAGTGCGTTTATTTATGAAATAGTACGTAACAAAAAATCAGAGCGCATGCGCGTAGCTCATTAATCTCTGGCATGAATATAAAAAGAACTTGGTGATAAATCATATCATTTGAGTGGTAATTTTAGAATAGTTCTTCAGTATTAAGTTTAAAACGCCACGGTCGTCGACCCGCGTTTAGTATGCAATGTTTGTACCAGAAATGCGAACATGCTGCTTGACTACATTGACATCTTAATTTCTCAAACGCCATATTTGTTTTTTTTGGTGCAGCTTTTAACATTTCTCTATAATGTCTTTTGTTAATTTTGGACCAAATTTCTCACGCGATTATCACGCAATGTGAGTTAATATTTTCAGTGAGTACTTTGTTGAGGACATTATCCGTTCAAGAACAGTATTTGTACATTTTCTTTAACTTTGTTTACTGGTCAGAATGCAAAGTGCCCAGCACCTGTGTTATATCCAGACAGAACTCCCTGCAATGAAAACAGGCAGGTTTGCTTCGATGGGGTAGGTACATGCTAACATATAGTAGTAGTATATAATTAGTAGTTGATTACATCATTAATGTTCGCCAAATGTCATTGGTATTCAAATGTAATTTCTTGATTGGAACAGTCAAGAAACGATCTATTTAATACTGGTATAAAACATTGCGAACACTTCAGCACAAAACTGTAAATAAACATTTAGCGACTATACACACGACCCTATAACTATGGTACGATTTCGAATTCTCGTAAAATACGAGTTTAATTATTTAAACTGATGATATGGAGACGATATGTACATTCTTCAATAGGAATGTTCAGGATCGATATGCGAAGCTGAGGGTGTCTTGATGGAGGAATGTTTCTGCGAAGGAGAAGAATTTGCCGAGAATCAGAAATGCCACGTGTGTTGCCAACAACCTGATAATGGTAAGATAATATTACATCATGTCCGGTTTTCCGATGCACACGTGACCATGTACTGCTCGATCACGTCATCATGATTGTCTATACCCCAAATCTGCTCGCCATATAACAGTTCTTTAAAATAAAGATTTACTTGTATAAGTGGATTATGACGCGACTAGCTATGAACAGGAATAACCAAAATGGCGGATACGATGACGTACTAGTAGTTATCAAAATATCACGTGGCACTGTGGGTCCGAAACCAACTCTATTATTATATTGGTATACCTTATGCTTTGTTCAAAATGTCCCAAGTACTGGGATGGATGAAACACAAAACTATTCATTCAAACTTTAATGAGCACAGTGTTTTTATCCCTGTTTAGAAACTTACTGCTACATAGACTTATAAATACATGACTGAAACAGTGGTGGTCGTCGCGCCGCGTTCGATGTGACCCATAGCGACGTATACAACGCGTGTAAAATACATTGTTTTTTTTTACATGAAATTCGAACACGTAATGCGACCACCGCCCTTGGACCTGACAGAGTAGTGGCCACACAAAACTAAGTCTTGCACTGCCGGGTTCTCCCCAGGTCATTATAGAGTAAGGGTTCCAAACTGTTAAATTTTGGATAAACAATAGAACCATTTTAGCCATAACAATGAATATAAT